CTAATTATTAATATAAACCCCCCCCCCCTCTCAAAAAATAAATAAATAATAATAATAATAAATAAATAAATAAATGAAAATGATTCCACTCTATTTTCCAGCACAGACAATTTCCCCTAACCTCTCAAACTGCAGATTTCGAAGTACCAAACAAATGACAAGTGACTAAAAAACAAAGCCATATTCTGCATATATGCTTCCGAAGGCTCACTCTACAAACTATTTTAGTTCCTTGATATCCCTTTTCACTTCCATGGAATATTGCCTATATCCCTTTTCACTTCCATGGAATATTGCAGTTCCATTAGATTTCCAACAACACAATCTTCACCATGAATAACACAATAAACTTGCAAATAAGAAGATTGAACAAAACACAAGATAACACGGCTCCTCTTTTTTCCCCGGCTGTTTATTCAAGGAAACATAAAAAATGTAATATGCAGACAATATCTAAAATTAGTTCTCAAATCTCCAAATGCCCGACAATAACATCCACAACCACTCAAATAAATAAATAAAAGCAAACTAGTTAAGAGGATTGACCTTCTCAACTTGCGTAGTTACCATTTGCAATCTATCCTCAGCTTCCCGGGCTTTCGATTCTAAAACATGAATATCAAAATTGTTCTTTCTCAGAGCAGCCCACAAAACCCTAACCTGTCATTCAAGACATTATCAACAACCTACTACTATTCACATAACCAGTTAATAATTATATTAATCACCTCTTCTTCTAGGTCTTTAATCTTGTCATCAGCAACCTACAAATAAAAAAGAAACATTCATTAAATTAGCAGGTTGAGTCCCAAATGAACTAACTACGTGATAATGTAATTCAAGAAACCAACCAGCCAACCTTTAAATCTGAGAAAACAGATTGCAAATGGTTTAATTTGTGGTCTAGTTCTCCAATTAGATTCTCACATCTCTCCAAATAACGGTCTCTGTCGTTTATATTTTGAGTGATTTCCTCAAGACGAGATTCTGCATTTACATTGATTAATTAGGCAATCAACCAATCAAAATTCTGAAACTAAACCTCTTGGTTTGGTTTGGTTACCTGATTGAGTGATTCTGAGCTTGGCCTCGTAGAGCTGGTTTTGGTGATCTTGAGATGAGAGACCCAGCACAGCTGACCAAATGGCTGGAAATACAAAGGGTAGTAGATAATAATAATAATAAACAGCTTCCATTTTTGCGTCTCCAGCCCCCTCCTCCTCTTCTGCTTTTACCGTGTCATCTACACTACGCTACATGTCCCGTCTATTTTGGAACTACAAAGGAAGAGAGACGAGATTCGCATTATTTTGTTTTTGCTTTTTAGTCAATGGGTGTTTGGTATCTTATTTTTAAGATTGTTTTTTAATTAAAAATATATTAAAATAATATATATTTTTTAATTTTTGATATGTTATATTAAAATCATTGAAAAAATTAAATTTCAAATAAAAAATTAAAAAATATTTTAAAAAACATGATAGACTACAAAAACAAATACATTATGTAGATGATTTTGCCACAAATGTTTTTGATATAAAAAATTAGAAAAATTGATCAATTAAATTATAGATATGATGGGATCTAATAAGATGATGTTATCTAATTATAAGATATGAAAAAACATGATGAGAGTAAATATATTAAAATAAAAAATAAAAAATTATTATTATGACCCATATAAAAAGAGCATTTTTTATTAAAAAAAATAAAATCATAAAACTTAATTTTTATGCATCTCAATGTTAAATAATAAAATTAAAAAAATAATAAATAATGATCTAGATCAATCAAAGTTAGCATGCAAAACTTGTGGTTTGAGTTTTAGGGCTATAATAATACCATGGAAAGAAAATTGAAAGAATTATGATGCTGAGTTACTAACAATTCAAATATAAAAAGACAAGATAAAAAAATAAAACTCAATTAATAAAAAGGATAAGAAAAATGAAAAACCTGCAAACCGAATCACGCGAACAAAATAACATAATCTAATGTAAAACAAAAAAAAATCATGAAATTCAATTCTTAAACTAACCCAATATTAAAGGACAAGACCAAAAATATATTCAATCCGATAAAAACATTCCAAAAAAAACTTGAGTCATCCAAGCTAACTTACTAAACTTATAACTTAGATTATAAGATCAAGATAACCTTTTAAAAATAAAAGTGAAGAAAATCACGAAACTTAATTTTCAACAAACTCAAAGTTAAAGGATGAAATTAAAAAAAAATAAGTGAAAAAAACCTTATATCAACCCTATAAACATATATATTTCAAAAAAAGATTTATATTTTTGCATGTCATCTATCTTATTTCTTTAAAAAATTAGAGTTGTATATATACAATTAAGAATGCATGCATTGGAGCTAGTTGTTATTTCACTTATTGAGGGAGTTGCAAAGTTTAAAGATGTTCTTATGTAATTAAAATAGATTAAATGAATACTTTAATTTAATAAGTGATTTGTTGAAGATTAAATAAAAGCTTATGTACTTGTTATAAAGAGATGGATTAATCTTTATTATCTTTATATTTCTAAGTCATCAACCATGAAGAAGAAATTTAGATGGCATATGAAATAAGAATGAACTAATTTTTATTCATTCATTATAGATGATTTCACTAATAATAATATAAAAACTTTAAATTAGATTTGAACT